GTCAATCTGCTTTGTCCTGTATGTTTTTTCATATAATCCCAAGTGTATGATTACGTCACAAAATGAAAGTTAGGGGATATCTGTACCACAGTGGAATTTTCCGTTGCTGCTGACGTTGAGTTGTTTCTGATTCTATGCGAACTATTCTTCAACTCTGTTAAGCGCAGATACTTAAGAGCAATGGTGGCTGCTCAAGCCTTTAATCCCAGCACTCAGGAGGCAGAGCCAGGCAGATCTCTGTGAGTTCGAGGCCAGCCTGATCTACAGATCGAGGTCCAGGACAGGCACCAAAACTACACAGAGAAACCCTGTCTCGAAAAACCAAAATCAAAACAAAACAAAAGAGCAAGGAGAAAATAATGTTTGTCTGTGCTCATGTACACTCTGTCCTGTGTAGTAAAGGCTCAACAAACTTCCCCTTCCTCACTGCTGAAAAAGTTAGCTTTGCCTGCATCTGTACACACAATTCAGTGTTCCTGATCTATGAAAGTGTGCACCTTTTGGTTTCTCTCTTGAACAGGTTTTGAGAGCTGCCTGGTTGCCCAGCATAAGTCAATTATAATACACACATGCAGTTTTCATGTCTGGGTGGGAGTCCAGTCTTTATCTTTAGAATAGTACCTTCAATGTTAGTCTTGTCTAGTGTTGGACCATTGATATTTACAGCTATTGAGAACTGATGTCCTTTTATTTCTCCTTTTAGGACAGGGTGTGTGTGTGTGTATGTATGTATGTATGTATGTATGTATTTGTTTCTTTAATGTGTGCGGGTGTTTTGCCTTCATGCATGTCTGTGCCTGGTGCCTGTGGAGACCAGAAAAGGGTCTAGATCTCCTGGAACTAGATTTCAGACAGCTGTGAGCTACCATGTGGATGCCAACCCATCTCTCCAGTCCAAGGGCATTAATTTCATGATGTGTGATGTGTAAGTTTATGTCAGGATAGCAAAAGGGGTGTTTAAATATTTGTTATTAAAGAAAGCACATGGACTGACAAATTCTATGAATAAGCCTATATAAGTAACTGATGATCAATTTGGGTCATTATTTTTCTCAGTTAGAAAAGATAGTTCTGGAGCTTCAAGAAGCTATTTAAAGAAATCACTAAGCTGCACACTGTTTTGGAAAACCTAATCCTCCAAGCTCCAGCATAGTTTATGTATAACAATAACAAAAAAGTCACCTGTGACTCATTTATGTTCAGTACTATTCAAAAGCTGAGACTGTCTCAGACAGACTGCATTGTCTGGCCACCTTAGCCTTGGTTCATATACCATAGCCCGAGATGAGAAGGCCATCACATCCATGGAGTCCTTTCTGTACTTGAAGCTTCAAGGTATGTCTTAGAACCAGCTATCACAATCCATTTACCTGATACCCAGTTACAAGGCTGAAATTTCTGGAAGCTTAAAAGAAAACCATGCCTTGGCTCAGCCATCTTGACACCATTTCACCCTGGCTGCTGGCTGGGAATGTTCTCAGCTGACAGTGATGAATGAAAGAAGAAAGCTCACTCCCAATTGTGTATTACCAAAATATCTTTGTTTCAAGATACTGCTTTTCATTATATTTAATAAACACATCCCCACCCCCAAAGACAGCACAGAAAAGCTTGGCAAATAAAAAGAAGATTTAGAAAAATTTATAAGCTTGGCTTATACATTGCTTTATTTAGAGGATACTTCTCACACATTTTTTTTTTTCTTCCACCCACCAAAAGGAACATGCATAATAAATGAAACTAAGCTTGGCAGGAAATCCATCAATAAGGTTAATTTAAAATGTAGGCAGAATAGCTAATCTCCATATGGCCATCGGGGTTGTTCTTATTTCAAAACCAATGACTTTCAAACAGCCCAACATGCCTCACTGGAAGAACTGAGGAGGAATCTCAACCACGTGGGGAAGCACACCCTGACTCTCAGGAGGCATCCTGTGGGAATTCAGTTTTAGGGTCTCTCACAGGCTAGAGTGACCTGTTCCAGCTCAATCACACACATGCTCTACAACTTCTGGTGAGACAAAAGTCCCCTAGGCCTCAGCTTTCTCTTCATCAGTGTCAAGGGACAGCACACAGCGTCACATGGAGTTACATGCTGTGTATGTCGTGAACATGGTGGATTGTTTAGAAGAAATATTTGTAGCGAGTCTTTCTCTGTCCTGCCAGCCAGCTCCCAAATAATAACGCAGAGAAGTCTTATTAATTATGAAAGCTCGGCCTTAGCTTCGGCTTGTCCCACTAGCTCTTACAACTTAAATGATCCCGTTTATTTTAATCTGTGTTCTTTTGTGTGGCTTATTACCTCATCTCTCCGTACTGCTCAGTGCTGCTTCCTCCCCATAGGACTGTTGATTCTACCTTCTTCTTCTTCTTGCCAGAGTTCTCTCTCTGCTCAGAAGTCCTACCTATGCCTGGTGCCTAGCTCTTGGCCATTCAGCATTTTATTACACCAACCACAGCAACACATTTTCACACAATGTACAAATACCCCACACCAAAGGTTTAGCAATTATATCTAGCATTTAAAGGTTTTCTTTAAACACGAAGTTGGTAACAGCAGTGGTTCAACACTGGGTGAGGTGTTGCTGGAGATATCACTCATCTTGGAAGAGGAGATGGAGAGATAAAGCCTAGGGGAAATTGTGGGCTTTTTTTTTTTTATAGGAACAAAATTTGGTTCTCCTCAAAGCTTTTGTCTTTTCTGTGCCTAAGTCTTCCATCCAAGACTGAACTGGGAAAGATTTTGAGCCATGTTAGGAAACTGCTCCTTTCCTGTTTACTCCTTTGGTATGTATAGAAAATGGGAATCTTGAGAAATATAGGTTTAAAAATCCTTTGGTAGTAAGATGCTAATATTTGTTTTCTGGTAGCTAGCAGTGGTCTATGTTACCATGGAGTTTGAGTCATCACACAACAAATTGTATCTGAAAGTGTTAGTTGAGTCCATAGCAATCTTTTCATTACATGGAATTTGCTTAAGTTACAGAGTAAAGTAAATGCAGTTATAGATTCCCAGGCATAACATAATACTATTCTTTTTTTGACTGATTTTTTTAGGGACAATATTTACATAGCAAGTGCCTGTATGAGATGGAGACCAATCAAGTTTTCAATGTGATCTAATCTTCTGAGGTGATGGAGTCCGACCAAGGAAGAAACCATCCCTCCTTTAAATGAGCCTTATGGGCAGCTCCTGTGCAGCCTGCCCTACATATAAAACAGGTGGGAAGGGAAGGAGAGAGGGAAGGGAGGAGGGAGGAGGGTGGGGACGGAGAAAAAGAAGAGAGGAGGAAACTATCGTCTTGGCTTTTCTCTTCTCTGTTTTCTTCTCTAAGGTCTCATTCCACTTTAGAAGTCTCAAAGTCTGTGGAGGGATGACAGGGGAGTTGGGGGAGAAAGAGACAGAGAGGAGAGAGAACTGGAGGAACACAAATGGCTTCAAGGATATATTCACAAAGACAATTTTTACCGCATGTCCATCCTTGGCACAGGTTCACTCCAATTAACACCGCTCTTCAAACTGATCTTAGAGCAAATATTGTCTTCCAGCTTATTATTCTTTAAGATGTAAAGAATAATATTCAGATGAGTTTTCCCTTTAAGCATGTTTGTGTTTGGTGACTTGGTGTGTGGTAATCTCCAAAAGCTATAGAGCACCATATTGAACCAGTCAGAATTTACCTGACCAGCATCCCCTGCCCTTTCCACCCCAACCTGCTAAAATCCTACTCAATATTTTGACTCCGTACTTAACTACAGAGTTCAAGACTTTGGGTTTTTAGTTCAGACTGTACCACTTAGCTATGTTACCTCAAACAAGCTAATTACCATCTCTAAGCATTAATTCCCTAATCCTAAAAAAAGAAGAGAATTAAAGTAATGACAGTTAAATTAGAAAAAGAAATAAAACAATCTAAATTGTAAAGGAAGAACTGAAATTATCCCTGTTCCTAAGCAGTGGTTTTATCTGTACAAATCCGAAAGATTCTACAAAGAGGGTGTTAGAATTAACTAGCTAATTCATCAAAACTGCAATATACAAAATCACACAGACATCAGCTGCCTTTCTGCGCAATGACTATGAGTAACCTTGAAGCCCAATTAACAGCATAAAATACTAGGCCAGCAAAATGGCCCAGCTGGTACAAGTGCTTGCCACACAACCTGATGACCTGAGTTTAAGCCCTGGAATCTACATTAAAGCAATCTAGAGGCAGTGGTGCAGATTTACAGTTTTAGCCCTCACACTGTGAGTGAGAGGTGAAGGTGAGAATTACCCAGAAGCTCATGGGACATCTAACTTGGCAGAAACAAGAGACACCTTGCCTCAAGGTGGAAGCAGAGAACCTCCATACATACATGGAGGCACACATATACCCACCCTCTCACCCTCTTATCACACACACACACACACACACACACACACACACACACACACACACACGTGCGCGCGCACGCGCGCGCGCAGGTTAAAGGTAACCTACAGAATGGAAGGAAATATATACAAATCATATATCTTATGAGGGATTAACCATAAATATTTTAAGAACTGATATAACCCATCAACAACAAAAGTTCAGATAACTCTATTAGATAATGGACAAAGAACTTGGGTAAACATTTTTACAAACATAGCATACATGTGCCCAACATATTAGAAATAGTCAACATTGTAAACCATATGACAAGTGCAAACCAAACCCACAATGAACTTTTACCACACACCTCTGGACATAGAGTTTAAAAAAAATGGACAGAATTTTCACTGAGGATGACTTACCCTTCTACTTTTTATTGCTAGCATTTTACTATATGCATGCTTTGTGACTTATGCTAGTATAGAGGTATATGTCAAGTTAGTTGTCAATCCTGGGACTTGCCAGAGAAAAAACAGTTCCATTTGAGCCAAATTTGAAGCAATCTTTAATTTAATTCTGACCAAGATGGACTTTGGTCAGGACCACTCCCGGGAATTCCCAGCTGAGTGGTCTTTAGACATGTTTTACAAGGACTCATAAGAACAAACCCATACTGCCACTTTTTCTTCCCATGAGGCCTTGTTATTTTCCAAGAACTACAACTCCCAGCATTCCAGGAAGTTACTTGGTCCTTGGGAGGGTTGAGCTTATAGGTTAACAGGGTCTTACATTCCCCCCACCCCTACCCCTTGAGTTATATCCTGGGTCAAATCCTTGACTCTATGATGGGTACTTATTTATATGGTATCTATAACCATCAGCTTAATGGTACCAGAGAGGAATTATTTAATTATTGTATCAATGATGTAAGAGCCAACAGTAAATAGCAGAAGCAGAAGGCTAAAGGTTGTATGATGACTGACATCAGAGTTACTTTCTAGGAGGAGCCTGGAAATTGATGGGGCACCAGGAATTTATTTTATCTCAGGTCCCCTTTTTGTAATCTTTTTTTTAGTACAGCCAGATTATAATCCTGAATGGTTTGTACAGAAATAACAATTTTCTCTTAAAGCCATATGATGCCTCTTTGTTCTGCATAAAGCCGGCCACATGCCCTATCATATTGTAGAACTATTTCAGTTCATGAATCTACCAAGTTGACAAATCTGTGCCCACATTCCTGGTATGTCAATTGGTATTATAAGTAGACATTTTGTCCCTTATCCAGGGGGTTTCCTTTTGACTTAGCATCTCAGCTTGTTACAGGGCAAGGGATGATGTACTCTCTTTTGTAACTACTTTCAACTGAAACTAGGGTACCATTGTCAGGGCCCAGGAAGGGTGAAGGGCTCGTCATAGGCTGGGTAATAGGGCATTTACAGAAGCATCTGATTAGCTGATCCAGGTGAAGAAATGAACAATTGTATCGGCTGCAGTGGTTCACATCAGCTTTCACCAAGTCTAGAGCTCAGCAGTTTGCAGTCCACAGGTAATCCCTAGATGATGTCTGTCAGCCAAGTAGAAATCTGCAGAGACAAATATAAACAAGAAACAGAAGTTAAAATTTAGGAACTTAAAGGAAAACCTTATGTTTGGAAATTTTAGTCCCATAGCCTAGGAATTAACTGGGGGACAGGAGGAATCCCAAGATCAGAATCACACCTCAAGAATAGACAGGTGGGGAAACTTGGGCTGTAATTATCTGGAGTCCATTTGACCTGTGACAGATGGATCTAAATCTTATGATTTCCTTAACTCCCTGAAGCCTACATGAATTTTCAGTTTACAAAAAGAGATGAAATTTCTAAATATATTAGCATTTCCATTGTACTGAAATCTATATTGTAAAAAGCATGAACATTTTTCCTCTGTCCAGAGAGCTAAATATATATATGGACAGAGATATTTTAGCCTGCCAAAAGGTACTTTTAAATCTATACTTAGAAGACAATCAAAGGAAATTTGAAATCTTGAGCTTGTGACTGAATAGAAAGTAGTCGGTGCTCTATTAGCTTATTAGAACTTTATTGGTCAATGTTAAAACTTTGAACTTTTGACATCTTACTGTAACACTAGCATAGAATGGGAAAGAGAAATCTAAAACATCTCCCATTATTTATATGCCTTAAATTCTTTTTATTAATCTTTACAACTTGTAATTATATATTTTAAATCATTTTCCGAGACCCTTGGAACTTATTTAAGCTTTTACAGCCTCAGACCTTTAGATATCTTAGGACATATTCTGAAACCCTCAGCATGGACTTTGAATCTTTTTCTTTCCATCTAATCATTTGCCAGAGACACAGGTAGTTTTTACTGAGAACAGTTATTGCAAAGCATGTTCCTTTAGTGAAAAGTCACACTTGACATGTGTTTATCCTTTAATATGAAGCCTGTTAGCAAGGCAAACCTATCGGCCTTTTCTTAACAAGAGACCTAGTAGCTTTAACTAATTAATGAACTAACAAAGTGGCTGCAAGCCTTGGGGGAAGGAATTGGTTGCCTGCTGTTGTCAAGCTGACAAAGCTACAGTTAGTCTAGCTGTCAACATCATCAGAAATCTGAGAAGGATAAACTGCAGCATAAAGTATAATCAGAATGGCCTATGTATCAATTAAAATGACAGAGTCCATTACCTAGACGGTCATCCCAGGATCCTGTGGTCTCCATGGCATTGGGGGCAGAGGTTTCAGGATAACACCAGTCTTTGGCCACCAGGCCAAGAAGATGAGAGACTTTTCTGTGGAGGAAGAACATGGAAGCGATTGACCTTATTTCGTCTAACCAAAGTGGGACACTCAACTCTCTAGTGTCCTCCTTCTCCACAGTTTGAATCAAGTCTTGGCAGCATGCAAGGCGTTGGGGTAGTCTTGTCCTATGGTTAGTGTTACCACAATCCAGGTAGAGTTGTCATCACGCCCATTATCTTAGAGACCTTGGCAGGGGGGTGTCACTGCTGGGATCTAGGAGTCTCTGTCTGTCAGTCACAGTAAGTTTAAACATTTTAAAAGCAGATCTCTGACAAGTTTGAGGACTATTATCTATTAAGTATATCTGAGCTAAACAACCCTTGTTTGTCTTACTTGCCTGTGTTAGGCTATACCTTAAAAACATACACAGGAAGCCAAATAAATCTTTTTCCTGTAATCAATTACACTAGTATTTAGCATGACTACAAACATAGTTCTGATCATATTAAAGCTTAATCATCTTTAACAGTTTATAATAAATATGGTGATATTTTATTTGTACTGAAATGTGATTTTAATTGTATGTTAATAAATAAAGTTGCCCGGGGGTCAGAGCTATTAGCAAGCCATAGGAAAGCAGGGCAGTAGTGGCGGACGCTTATAATCCCAGCACTTGGTAGGCAGAGCTAGGTAAGTCTCTGTGTGTTCAGGGATACAGCCAGCTTTGGAGACACAAGCCTTTAAGACCTGGAGTGCTGTATTTACAGGCAGTGACAAGGCAGTCACGTGTTTGGGTTTACAACCAATGAGAAGACAGAACAGAAAGACTACATAAAGACAAACACACAGGAAGTAGCTCTCTTTCGGAGAAGTCTCTTGCCTTAAGAGGCTAGCTGCAGGGTAAGGCTCTTAGCTCTGATCTCTTGGCTTTCTTCTTTGCATTGGTTCTGTGTTTCTTATTTAATAAGATGGTTGGTTACATCTACAAATAAACATAACCATTTTTGAATTAAAGCTCTTTTAGTATCAAGATAGCTTTTAACTCATAAGCAGTTTATAAAGAAACTAGGAACCTACTTGATCCTTTTATAGTACACTAGTATGAAACATAATAGTTTTTATATGACAGTTTACCAAAATAGCTACAGCTTAACAATGGTAGCAAAAACAAGGATGTTAGATATTCAATGTTAAATCAGTCCCTGTTAGCCTGATTAGACCTTAGGTCAGAAGAAACCCTTTGCCAGACTGTTCAGGTTACAGTCTTGGTGCCTCATGAGAGAGGAACACCTCAGCCTCTAGTATTTGATGTTTATAGTTGTGACCCTAATTTTTAGTCTTTCATTTATTTATTTATTTATCAAGATCATATATTAATAAGGACATTATAATAAAATACCTTATAAATGTCCCATTTATAAACTTAAATATTTTTAAAAGCTGTTCCTTAAAATATATCTAGATTTTTATTTAAATTTTCTATAAAACTCTAAAATTTACTATTGAAGAAGTTTAAGATCTCTCAACTGTGGGCTCCTACAATATTGAAATAAAGTGTCCCTTTTATTCAAGAGTGAAGATACAGAGCACGACCACAATCTGCAGAAGGCAAAACCAAGCTCTAACACTGCAAAAAGTTTAATGTCTGTAAATGCTACCAAGTTTGGCTGCTAGCAAGGTACATTCTTGTATAAGAAGGTGTGGAGGTGCAGCTTTAATATCTCATTCGACAAGCATTGTGTTTAAATCCTATCTTTTATAAACCTTGTTTTTAAGACAGGACAGGAATTGTCATACAAAAATCCTATCCCAATATAAAAGTATCTTCAGAGACCTGTTGTCTCCTTGGTTGGCCTATATCAAGCGGTTGCTTTTAGTTAAGATAGCAGTGAAACCGTAACATTTGTCTTCTCCAACCCTAGCAAAGATGGCTTCCAGCCATGTAACTGCCCAAAGATGGTCACAAGAAACTAGCTTTAAAAAGCTTCCATGACTTACTAAAAAAGGAGGCTTTAATTAAAACAACAACAACAAAATCTCAGGCTACCTCCTTTTTCCAAGCATGGCCAGTCATTGTAGGGGGTTGTAGCTGAAAATTTTCCTGTGTCCCACACAGCCCTGAGGTCCCCCAGCCACTTATGAAATAATCACTCAGAGGCTTATATTAATTACCAACTAGCTCTTTCAACTTAAATTAACCCATTTCTATTAATCTATGTTTTGCCATGTAGCCATGGCGTTCCTGGTCTGCTGGCATCTTGTTACTCCTTGGGTGCCAGCTCAAGTCTCCCCTGACTCCATCCTTCTTTTCTCCCTACCTCTGCTTGGATTTCCTGCCTACCTCTAAGCTGTCTTGCCATAGGCCAAAACAGCTTTATTTATTAACCAATGGGAGTAACACATATTCACAGCATACAGAAAGATATCCCACAGCACTTCCCCTTTTCTATCTAATCAAAAAAGAAGGTTATAATTTTAACATAATAAAATTACATAAAACAGTTATCAAGCAAGAATTACAGTTACAATATCTAGTCTATTTGTATTTGGCAAAAATTAAAGAAAATATTTTATCATCTATCCTATTTTTGTGAGTTTAAAGTTTTATATTTAATTTATCTTTTATCATAATTAAGGAAAACTATAATTATAACTATCTAGTCTTCAACTCCTTCAAAGATCCCAGAAAAAATATAATATTACCTGAGTAAACAGGAAGAACATTGTAAGCAACTTCCAAAGTTCTAGAAATGATAGAGGCGGCTGGCTGCCTGGACAGTGACCCAAATTTCCTTTGCAATTTTAGGACATTCATCTTCAGCCTATAGGCCTAGAGTCTCTCAGTTACTTCTCCCTATGTCTTGTAGAATGTCTGGCAGTCTCCTCTGTGAAGCAGAAACCCAAAGAACCATTTTGCCTTGTTTTGGAAAAATTCAGTGGTCATTTTTCTATGGGTCCTATATGTCCAGTTTATACAACATACTGTCAAGCAGTCCAGGCAAGAGCAGTTGCTTGCCCAAATGACTAACTTTTGTCATAAAGAAAACAAACTCCATAATGAGTTTCTTCAATGCCCATCATTCTCTTTGAAGTAATTGGTGTTGTCAGGAGCACACATGTCTCATTGTCTAGAAAAGTCTAAGTTCTTAAAACATTTTAAATACCATATTCTGTAGGAGTTTGAAATGTTTGAAGATTATCTAACTAATTGAAATATATGTATATATATTTAGAAAACAACATGACTATAAGTTTGATTACCATAGATGACTATTAATGGGTATTTCTTAATTATATATAGTATAACAAAATTAACTTTAAATTTGTATCAATAAGCTAAAATCTATAGCAATGTAAAACATTTCAAACAAGTTGTTGCTCTTTAAAAGTAGATTCAATAATCTACCCTTCCATCCTACCATATCTATATCATATATTTCTATATCATATCTTTTAGAAGAAGATTGGCTATGACCAATAACAATTTATAACAAACCTCCTAAACAAAGATGAACATCCATAATCCATATTTTGGGAATATGAGTATAGTGTTCTAGGCTACTTCCTGCTGACTAGGGACACTGTAATCTTGGGGGAGCCTGAGAAATTTTGAGATAATGGTCAAGTCCTGGGAAGACTGGCTATAACCTTTGTTGATAGATAACATCTGTCAAGGTTCAGGAGGTCTCCCTTGATCAAATCTGATCCATCTTAACCTGGAACAAATCCATAGCCTCTTGCTTCCTGTGGAAACAAAAGCAGAGCCTCTTTCCAAAGTAACATATCCTTAGACGCAAATTTTGAAGTCAAGATACCTTTAAAATATACAGAGATTGGATTAACTCAGCAGCCTTTACAATCAAATGTCTCTCTCCAGTTAAAAATCCCAAAGACAACATTATCTAGATTCTTTGTATAATTTCCATTTTTACATGACTTATTATAGCTTTTATATATTATAATACTTAAGATTTTTCTCTCTCAAACCTAAGTACCTTTTTATACACATTGTAAACCACTTAAAGTTTTGGTTTTTTTTTTTTTCCATCTGAATCTGTCCTACTGTGTATCTGTAATCATTTTTGACCAGGAAAGATTTTAAACTGTTAAGCTTTATGGCTAGGACAAAAGCAGCAGCAGCCCTGGGTGCTGGCTCCACCCCATTCTGCTTTTCAACACAGCAAGGTACCATGAGTCACAATTAACTCCCCAATTCTGGGAAGCAGTATAAAGTCTATGTCTGTGTTTTTAAGCCTGTGGCTGTGCTTTCAAGCCTACAGGCCACAGCTGGGAGAAGCCTCTTTTTATCATGGCTGTGCCAGTCAGAGACCATGAGAGTCAGCCATGTTGCCTCTGAAGCTTGCAGTGGCCAGGGGATGCATCTCCATACCATGGTCCTGCATGAGACCTGAAGTAGGAAGCTGTTTTTGGCTCTGTTTTAGAATCTCTTGTTAAGTTCTTTCAGGTTTTAGGTAGAAACTCTTGCCAATACGTCTGACACCAAAATATAGTCAGAAGTTTCTCCAGTCCCACCCGGTGGTCCTGCCTTGCCTTGCAGTCCTGCAGTCACCTATAAAATAATCACTCAGAGGCTCAATATTAATTGCAAATTCTATGGTCTATCGGCTCAGGCTTCTTGCTAGCTAGTTTTTACAACTTAACTCAACCCATAACTATCCATCTATGTGTTGAAACATGTTCTGTGGCTTTACCTATGTTCCATTACATGCTGCTCCTTGGACTGCGGCTTGGCATCTCCCCTACTCTCCTTTCTCCTCTCACTATCTCTTGGATTTTCCTGCCTGGCTCCATCCTGCCCTGCCATAGGACAATGCAGCTTAATTTATCCACCAATCAGAGCAACACATATTCACAGTGTACAGAATGATATCCCAGCAGGGGGTCCCCAGTGCCAGAGCGAAAAGCCCAGCTTCAGAATTTGGGGTGGAATTATCTCACTGTGGGGCTCCAAATGTTAATGTTAAGACTCACCAGAGAAAAACCAGTTCTACCATTTGAGTCAAATTCGAAGTAAGCTTTAAATAAATACTGACCAAGATGAACTTTGGTCAGGACCACTTCCTAGAATTCCCAGCTGAGTGACCCTGAGACACATTTTGCAGGGGCTTATTAGGTCAAACCCATAGGGCATGTGTTTGCTGTTTCCCATGAGGTCTTGCTATTTTCCAGGAACTACAACTTCCAGCATTCCAGGAAGTTACCTGGTCCTTGGGTGGGTGGGGCAATGAGCAGATAAACAATCCTCAGAGTACCTTAGTCCATTCCTGTTGAGCTAATAAAATATCACTGGCTTGGGATTTTGTGATTAGAGTGAATGGAGAGTACAGTTACAGAAACTGGACAATTCAAGAGCAAGTGTCTGGTGGCTGTGGTGTCTAGTTAATGATTTTTCCTGCTTTCAAGGAAGGTGCCTTGACCAGATGGACAACTGTGTGGGGTAATGAACTGCTTCCTGATTAGAGTGAGGCCTGCTCCTTAGGAGGGATTTTCATGCTGTAAACCTGGTCAAAAGCCCATGACTGCTAAGGTCATAGGCCCTAGGGTAGAAACTATTATTGTTATTCTGCTAAATGGTCATGCTGTCAAATTGATGTCTAAATATGTTTGTATCCACAGACCTAGACTGCTCTCAATTCTAGTCAGAGAAGCTTCTTTTCACAGACAGCAAAAACAGTCAGTCCAAGAGTGGCTGTGAGTACTCAGCCCTAAATGATCCATCTTTATCACGGCCCTCACCTTGCCCCTGCCGTGACTCAGAGAACGCCGAGGAAGAAAGGGTGGAAAGAAGGCGAGAGCCAGAGGAGGGGAAGGAGTGTTGTCCTTTGCACGTGGCATACTGCTGCATTCACAAGCTCACAGCAGCTGTGGTTATTCATGAGAACAGGTCAGCCAGAACACCAGCTAAAATGGGAGAGAATTTCTAGATGGCTCCCCCTCTAAATGAGCAGCTATTGACATTGATAACTGCTGGGGAGGAAGCATCATTCTGCTTTGTGGGGGTGTGGCCATGGGTAGGAGGGCCCCTCATCCATGCACATGTATACATCACTAATGGAGCTTAGTAGGTTATTAAAGAGAAAGAAGAGAAACAGAGGCACGGGGAGGGAAAGATCAAGTCGAAGTTGCGAGAAGGAGGTTGGAAGGTAGTCAGGGACAAAATTGGGGTAGATACGATTATATTTCATTGTATCTATGTATAAAATTCTCAAAAACATAAAAAATTTAAAAACAGAGTGTTAGTTATTTTTTGGCGCTGTGCTTTTACCCTGCAAGGAAATGTCACAAAACACGACAGAATCCGCTAATAAGAGTTTTATTAAGATGAAAGGGACAGAGAGTGCGAGGGCCTGTGGAAGAGACACGTGTATGGAGAAGAAAAAACCGGGAACATGGCGCCGGCTTATAAAGGCTGGGTGTGCACAGGTCAACATAACTACTCTACACATATGCGTAGATCACATGGTTACGCTACGCCTTCGTAAACATGCAAAGTCATGGATCCTGGTCACGGGAGACACCTTGACCCGGAAATGGATATCTTGACCTGGAACTGGCTAGGCGGAAGTGTCGGCAGGGCATATGCAAACATGTCCGACCATGGGGGCGTGTTGTGAACCCTTCACAGAGTTCCTTCAATGTTGTCTTCTCTGGAGTGAATGGCCGGACACTGTGCCATCAGGACAGAACTGCAGAAAAGCCAATAGGGCCGAGCTCTCACTAACACATCCTCCGGGTGCTGGTTTTACCCTCTGAGGTGATTTATGGCCTCCTCACTTTCTAATGATGCCAGCAGCATTTAAGGCTGTTGTGCTGAGTCTGACTTTCAACATGGCCTTTCGAGGATACACAAACATTCAAATTATAGCATACACAGACACAGACTCCACGCACCACAAGGCGCTGGAGCCTTCCGTTGCAAAAGCCTTTCAGCTGGGTCGTGGTTTGCTCACGTTTTCCCATTTGCCGCTGGGCATTTTCCTCTGCCCTTTTCTACCCACACTCAGCTTGTTTTCTGCAAACAGTTAGCAGTTTGGTATGCTGCTGTGCGCATTGAGAGCCCCCCAGTTCTGGCAGCGTGAGGGGGTGTAGCAAGTCCCTTTCTAAAGAGATTAGGAGGAGCTTGGAGGCAGTATTGTTTTCTTCCTGGGTCCTGGCTGGGAAGGCAAATCTGCTTTCTCTTTTCTCTTTGTGCTGTTCTTGGGTTTGTGGGGGAAAGTGGAGGGGAAAGAGCTTGCCAGAGTGTGGTTCCTGCAACGAAGTTCTCAGATGGAAATCCCATTGGTGATAGGATAAAGTGGTCTGAAAATAAATAAAATAAAATATAAAAGGTCTTGTCCTGGAAAACCAAAAGCCAGTAAAGGCTAGACAGAGTCAAGAGGAAAAAAGGAGATTCACTTAAGCAGCCGAAGACCGACACTGGTCTCCAATGCCCAGATGAAATCTCAGGGCTTGTTCAGTAGAGCTGGGACAGCATCGGAGTTGGTGGGAATTCTTGGAAATTACTATTTACATCCAGTTGAATAAATGTTCCTAAATGTAATTAAGAATGGCTCACATATTAACTTCATGAATGAACTAAGACAAACACTCATTATCTTGTCTCTCCCAGAGACACTACAAAGCAGTATGCGCACACTGAGAGACTTTGTATTCTTGCTGTAGTTACAAGGGACAAAGAAGAGACCAGAGGCCCCCAGCTTGGCTGGGGATGTTCTTCAGTCCCTCTTCCT